TTTCTGGAGTTTTATTTTAAGTCTTGACAGTCCTTAAGAATATATATTTGCAGTATAAGTACCAAAAACCATCTCAATTTATTTTTACAGCTCCTCTCTCAAGAGCTCTGCAAAGAACAGGTCAATTTTGGCCTGTCTAATTAATATTCATGAGCCTCTCTTCTGATTGGCCTGTTGATTTCTGAGCGACGCACGGCCAGGCCAACCACAGGTAACTATGTATGCTGTAGCCTGCTGTGTGATACTCACAAGTAATGTCAATAGAAACACCGGTAATGATGGTCACTGCTGAGGGAAATGTTGTTCGGCCTTACATGTTTGAGCCGAAGTCAGACCCCGAATCGGCGATGACAGGAGACAACCAACCACCTCCTCAAACGCGCTTACAACAGGATGTTTCAGAATGGTAATTCAAGGTTTTTTTTTCAAACACAGAATGCAGTAAATACAAACCTAACCAGCCGAGTGTTTGCGATCACGTGAACTTGAAGACACTTGTACAAATGCGGATGGGGGACATGAATGGAAATGATTCCAGATTGGCGATGTAGTGTAGTATTTGGCTGCTGTATTCTGTACTGTATTTTCCTGTGCTCAAACCTGCCAATCTAAAGGATCAAACGCCGTGTATGGCGTTTGAGGTAATTTATGAATTAGCATAGACTTATAGTCTAAATAAAACAATTAGCAACTGTTACTATTATTACACTTGTATACAAAACTTTGTATTATGCTTGTTATAGAGTGTGTGATGTCATGTGTATTACCACCGGTGGCGCGATTGTCACAGCGACCGTCACAGCCCTACTGTGCAATGATGTCGTTTCCTGACATCCAGACTGAACAGCGTTTTCTCGACATGTTTCCGTGTTGTTGTTGCTCAGCAATGGCATGGACGCGATGTTGTCAGGGGGTTTGGCAAAAGGAGAGTGGGACGGTGTTAACATGTTATTTCCTCCCTACTCTGTTCACATGGAAGAAGGTTCTTCTGGATTAAAAATTAGGGTAGCTCATGTGCTGGTTCAAAGGTGAGCGCGCGGGTAAAAAGGGGGCGTTGTTGTAGAGGAACAGTGTTGAACGGTGTTGGATATGTGAGCGAGGTGTTGAAAGGAATAAAGTGCGTTAACTGAGTAAACGTCGTTATTTGATTTAACATGGTAGCAGAGGATGGTTGAAGGATGGCAGCTAGTTATAAAGTTCCGCCGAAATTT